CCACCTCGTGGCCTGCCGCGGGGTGACGTCGATGGGAGGTCCTGGGGGGCCGAGGCTGGCAGGGAAGATGTCCACCCACAGCTGCAGCTTGCCCTGCGGGGACCGTTCTCGTCACCCCTCAGCATCCCTCCCTGGTGCCCCCGTGTCCCTGTCCCCCACCCTGGCACCCGTCCTCATGCTTGTCACAAGGGTCCCCATCATCTCCCAAGTGTCCCTCACTTTAGGTCCTTCTGTGCCCTGGTCCCCAGTGTCTCCCATCCCAGCATCCCCCCTTGTCCCAGTGTCCTCATTGCCCGAGGGTCCCTCCAAGCCCTTGTTCCCAGCATCCCCATCACTCCAGGGTCCCCATCACCTCCCAAGAATCTCGCCTTGCCCCAGGGTCCCCAGCATCCCCCCAGGGTCCCCAGCATCCCCCCAACCTCCCTGCTGTCCCCGCCGTCCCCAGGGCGCCCCGGGGTGCCGCAGCCCTGCCTGCTCCAGCCCGGGCTGGGTGCTGCTGTAGAGCGTGCGGGTCTCCAGGTGCTCGGGCACGAGGCGACACGCGTGCAGCAGGTGCAGGGCCAGGCGCTCCCGGGGCGCCCCGGCGTGCCGGTACGTGGGGGCCCCGCTCTCTGCAGGGGCACCAGCCCGTGGCACCGTGCACCAGCGCCCGGTGCCCAGCGCCCACGCGGCACCCGACCCACCCAAGTGGCTGGGGAGGGAGGTGGCAGCCTGGGGTGGCCCCCACCATGCCCCAGAGCCCTGGGGCACCCCCTGTGCCCCCCTGCGTCCTTGCTCCTGTGCTCGCCCGTAACCATCTCCCCATGTCCATCCTCCTGTGCCCACCTTAACTATCTCTCCACGTCCATCCTCCTGCGCCTGCCCATAACCATCCCCCTGCCCCCATCACCCTGTGCCAACCCATAACCTTCTCCTCATGTCCATCCTCCTGTGCCCATCCATAACCCCCTCCCCATGTCCATCCTCCTGTACCCACCTGTAACCGTCCCCCTGCACCCATCACCTTGTGCCCACTCTTAACTTTCTCCCCATGTCCATCTGCCTGTACCCATCCACAAGCATCTCCCCGTGCCCATCCTCCTATGCCCACCCACAACTATCTGCCCATGCCCATCCTCTTGCATCAACATGGAACCATCTCCCCAGGGCCATTCCCTTCTGGCCACCCGGCCTCTCTGCCTGGGTGCCATCGCCCTGTGCCCCTCGTCGTGGCAGCACCCACACACGGTAGAGCCGGGGCAGCCCACAGTGGGCTCGGAATCGGGACAGCAGCCGGTTCTCCAGGTCAATGCTGGTGCTGCCGATCTCCTGGTCGGGCGGCAGCAGGTCGTAGTCGAAGAGTGAGATGTGCAGGTCCTTTTCCATCGGGATGGTGGCCGTCACCTCGAAGAGCCTGCAGGCAGGGCACTGTCACCCCTGGGCACCTGCTGGCATGGGCAACAGGGGCACCATGGGGACTGGGGACCCGTGGGGATGGCGACCTGCTGGCATGAGGAGTCACCAGCATGGAAAGCGAATGGCACGGGGTCCTGCTGGCATAGGATATCTCTGGCATAGGGATTGGGGACCTAGTGGCATGGGGACCCAGTGGCATGAGGTTTGGGGATCTGATGGCATGCGGACCTGGTGACTTGGGGAGCAAGTGGCATGGGGTTTAGGGACCTGGTGACATGGGGGCATGGGAAATAAATCCCTGGTGACTTGGAGACTTAATGGTATGGGTGCTGGGGACCAGGTCACTTGGGAGCAGGAGGCACGGGCACCCTCTAGCATGGGGAACAGAGACCTAGTGGCTTGGGGACCTGGTGACATGGGCCCCGGGTGACTTGAGACCTAGCGGCAGGAGACTGTATATTGTGGGAGTTGTGGATGTGGCAGCACAGGGACCTGTGGCCATGGGGACACCCAGCGACACAACCACAGCACAACCACCCTGCTCCCTGGCTCATGCCACCCAAGGGTGACAGTGCCAGGAGCAGGGGGACACCCACACTGGAATCACCTGCCGAAAATGGGCTCCAGTGTGTTGGGCACATACTGGTCACGGTCACCCGCCTTCTTGGTTCCCAGCGAGACCCGGATGTAGGGGTCACACTGGTGGGATGGGACCATGAGGACGGCACAGAGAGGACTACGTGCCACATCCCGGTCACCCATGGGTGGCCTTACCAGCCCGTTCCTGTCCCGGGGGGGCAGGTTGAAAGCCCGGATGATGTAGAGCCGCACCAGGCACTCCTGGGGCTGGCTTGGTGGCAGCTCCTGGAAGTGACGCGGTGGCGGCGGCACGCTGGGGTCCTCCGGCAGGGGGTAGATACGGAAGAGCCCCTGTGAGAACCAGGGCACCCCGGGGTGATGCCAGCAAGAGGGGGGACACCTTGGGGACACCCATGCGACAGGGGGGGTTGTCACCTTGAACTCGCCCACCGGGTCCTCGCCGCCCTCGGGTGTCCCCGTGGTGCGGTACAGCGGGAACGTCTGGCAGAAATCCTGCAGCCCCTCGAATTCGGGCACTGCTTCCAGCTCGCTGCTGTAGACCTGGGGACATGGCGGGTGGGTGGCTGGAATGTCCCTGTCCCTGTCCCCAGCTGGCACCCCTGGTGCTCACTGTCAGTGCATCCCTGGCTGCTCCTTGGTGCCTCTTGGCCGTGTCACCCATGGCTGCATAGAATTTGCTCCACCAGTCGTCGTCTTCTTCCTCCTCCTCCTTCTCCTCCTCCTCCTCCTCCTTCTCTTCCTCAACAGTCTGCTGGGGAGCAGGGTAAGTAGCAGGTTCCCCCGTGGTCCCCATGGTGGCCCCGGCGGTGGCCACGGTGGCCCGTGCCCACCTTACGGCCAGCCCCCATCTCAGCTGTGATCCTGGCCAGGAGCTGCAAAGAGGGATTGGGAAGTGCCTGGATGCAGCTGGAGGGACCCGAAGCACCAGGATGGGCCAGCGGGGATGGTGGCCGGTGCCAAGGGACGGTGGCCGGCGCAAGCGGATGAGGGGCTACTCACCTGGGCCATCCAGCCCTGAGGTGTGGCTGCGACAGGGGAAGATGAGCAAATAGATCAGTGCAGTGCTGGGCGGTCAGAAGCAGGGAGGGAGCAGGGATGAGGCTGGGATGTAGTTTGGTATGGGATGAGACCAGGATGGGATAGGGATGAGGTGGGGATGGAACAGGGCTGAGGAAGGGATGGGGCAGACATGGGGCATGGGTGGAACCAGGAATGAGTCAGGGATGGGGAAGGGATGGAGCAGTTTAGCATAGGATGAGCCCAGGATGAGGCAGAGGTGGAGCAGGGACGGGGCAGGGATGGAGCAGCTGGGTACCAGGACGGGATCGGGACGGGGCAGGGATGGAGCAGGGACATGCGGAGCAGCTCCCGGCCGGAGCGGGGCCGTACCGGGCCCGGGCCCGGGCGGGGGCGCGGGGGGGCCCTGCACGTCGGGCTCGCAGCAGTACTGCCGCAGGCTGCGCACGCTGGCCCGGCCCAGCTCCGGCCGGGAGCCGAAATCCCACGGGGCCACGACC